ACAAAAAAACGCGAGTGGCCTACCTAGACAGTAGGCCAACCTTGACTACATTCCCCTATTTTTAGTAACGATTTAATAAAAGCAAAAAAAGAAAAGAAAAAAATGGAAAATTCTACACATGAATGAGTTGCATCAGGAGCAAAAGATTCGGAAAATAATGATGCATCTGTATGATAAGGCAGTATGTATGCATCTGAGTTGAATAGGAACAGTGGATATGTATAGATCGTCTAAGGAAAACGGCCGATAATGAGATTATCGATATACAGAGCAGGGATTGCGGAAATCCCTCGGATGCAAAATCTTGTATTAAGAGCTTGTTCTATATATGTACACTGTTAAAAAAGATTGTAAATTTACAATACTTTCATACAAAAAGTGATTGAAAATTTACAAATATTGTATATGAAATAATTTCAAAAACGCGTGTTTGAAAGATTTGTAAATTTACAATATTTTCAAACAAAAGTGTTTGAAATTTTCAAAAATTTTTGTATGGATCAACTTCAAATACATATGTTTGAAAGATTTGTAAATTTACAATATTTTCAAACAAAAGTGTTTGAAATTTTCAAAAATTTTTGTATGGATTAACTTCAAATACATATGTTTGAAAGATTTGTAAATTTACAATATTTTCAAACAAAAGTGTTTGAAATTTTCAAAAATTTTTGTATGGATTAACTTCAAATACATAAGTTTGAAAAATATGTAAATTTACTACCTTTTCATAAAAAAGTGTTTGAAAAATTTATGTGTAAAATAATTCAATGCACATATGTTTTAAAATATTGTAGGTAAATTTACAACTTTTTCATTGAAAAGTACTTAATTTAAATTTTTTTGAGTTTTTATACAAAATTGCTTCAAACATATGTGTTTAATAATTCTGTAAATTAGTTTAAAACATTATTTATAAGTAAATACATTTTCAAATGTTGAAATAACTAAAATTTTTTTTAATCAGTTTAATTAGTTAAATTTGACAAAACTTGTTAAGAGAAAAAAACATTTTGGATGATATAATATAATTAATATAGTTAGTTATTTTGTACATATTAAAATTTAAAAACTGCTGAATTAAATAGAAAAATATTTTTCCATAAAAAATCTTCTGTGTATAAAGTATTGTTTAAATATTTCTTAAACATCTTAATACATATCATAAATTTAACAGAAACGTGAAGAGAAAAAAAGTAAAGAATACAAGAATCGGTTGGTGAAGAATTTTAAAGATATTAAATCTTTAGAAATTTAGAAGAAGTCAAAAAAAGGGAATGGTCCACATGTTTCTCACTACTGATACTTTGCAAGAGATTTTCATAGCCTCCCTTGGTCGAGCGCGTCTAGGCGCAGCTCCCAAGGTTGATGGCTCCATACAAGACACACTATACACAGACAACATTATATACGACTAAGGGTTCAAATCGTAGTGTCGCATTTCCGTAAAAATGCTAATGAAACTTTTTTTTTAATTAATTTACATTTATTGTAATATATCAAAACACAATATAAACAGTTTAGATTTTTTATTTAAATATTTAAATCGTTTTGGTATTTCAAACAGATTTGTTTGAAATTTCAAACAGTTTTGTTTTAAATTTCAAACAAAACTATTTGAAATTTCATTCAAACACTTTGTATTAATTTTACAAAGAAAAGTTTGAAAATTTTAAAGAAATGTGTTTTAAAATTTAATAAGAAAATTTGTATTAAATTTAAAAATGTGTGTTGTAGTTTTCCAAAATTGTATATGATAATTGCTTCAAACATTTTTGTATTAAATTTGTAACAAAAATTTTTAACAGTGTATATATATAGATATATATCCCTAATACCTGTAACGACATTTCTACTCAAAACCACTGAATCGCTAATCCACGATTATGTGTAAATGTGGTTCAACCTTCCTAAACGAAATGTTTGAATCATTATTATACAGTTAACAAGAATTGAGATCGCAAAATTAATAGTTCACTTGAGAAATAAGAGGGGGAAAAAAAAGAGTAGAAAAAATTATTTTTTTCTTTATCATGGTTGCCACGCTTTTACTCTTTTCAAATTCCCTGACTTTTACAAGTTTTCCAAGTTAAAAAACGTGATTTTTCCAGGTTTTTAAAACTACATTTATATTTTACCGAATTAAATAACTCACTACTAATTTCCGGACAAAACTTTGACTTTTTCCTTGACTCTAAAGAATATTCTGATTCACTCGCAATATAATTAGATACACAAAAAAAATATGTTCTATTACATTTATTTACGAATTTCTTTAATTGGAAAATTATTCAAAAAAAAATCAACAACTTCTTTTTAAATAAATATTTAATTATTATTATTATTTCCATAGGAATTAAGATTTTCAAAAATTTCAAATTCAAACAATTTTATAACCAAAAAAAATTTGTTATAAAAAATGAAGATATTGATTGCTCCGAGTCTTCGACTCGGAGTGATCAATTTCTTCATTTTTTATAATAATTAGAGATTTTCGAAAGATAGAATAATTATTTTATATTATAAGAATATTGTTATTGTAAGTTATCAAAATTATTTTCATATTCAATTATAATCTAAAATTTGAACTGAAATTCATTTTTATAAAATGAAAATCAATTTTTATTAGAAAATTCGACGAGAATTCAATTATTTAATTATACACAAAGTAAATTATTTGACAATTATTTCATTGGGAATTTTCAAATCCTTTTGTTTTACAATTTAATTTTACGAAATTTCAATTATTCTGCGACATTCTTCAATTAAATTTATTAGAAATTAAAAACTTTAAATAATTAAAAAAAAAAAATTTCATTAAACTTTTTGAAAAAAATTATATCTACAGAATTCTTAATTAAAAATATGGAAAGTTCAAATTTTCAAAAATTTTATTTAAAAACCTTTTGAAAATTCAATTATTTTTAAAAATCCACGCTATAATGATTTCAAAATTCAATTATAATCTAAAATTTTAACTAAAATTCATTTTAAAATTAATTTTTATTAGAAAATTCTACGAGAATTCAATTATTTAAATGCAAAAATAAATAATTTATTGAATACTTAGTTGAATTTTTCTTACAATTGAAATATTAAGGGCATTTGAACCTTGATGACGTCACACATGCTTTGCACAATCTGTAACGTCATCAAGGTTCAAATGCCCTTAAGAAGAATTTTATTTACAACTTTTGAAAATAAATAATTTCTTATTTTCTTTTGAGAAATTTTATTAAACTTTTATTAAAATATATTATATTAAAGAATTTTATAACAATTTTTTAAAATAATTAAATTCCTGCGAAGAATCTTATTAAATTTTGTTTAAATAATTGAAATTTTGTCAAAAGTTTTATTAAAATATTTGTCAATAATTTAATTCTTGAGAAGAATTTCGCTATCTATTTATAAAAATAATTTAATTCTTGACGTGAATTTAAAAAAAAAAATTTTGAAAATATTTTAATTTCTGCAAAGCATTTTATTACTTTTCAAAAGAATTGAATTTTGGAAAAGAATTTTATTAAAATTCCTTAAAATAATTGATTTTATGGGAATAATTTTGTTATTTCTCAATAAGATAATTGAATTCTTTTGCAGAATTACTCAAAAAATTTTGAAAATAGTTGATTTCCTGCGACGAATGAAAACTTATTTATGAAAATAATTGAATTACTGCAACGAATTTTATAATTTTATTGAATAATTAAATGTTTTTTAAAATTCAATTCTTTCGTCGAGTTTAGATAACATTTTTAATAATAATTGCATTTTTCGAGGAATTTATTTAAAATTGTATTAAAAATATTTGAAATTCTGCGATGAAAATAATTGAATTCCTAATTATGAAATTTTATTATTTATAAAAATAATTGTATAATTTCGTAGAATTGTATCAAAAATTTTTTTTTTCAATAATTAAATTTTTTGATAAATATTATGAAAACAGTAAATATTAAAAATCATTGAATTACGAAAAACTTGAAATTAATTGAAATTTTGCAGTGAATTTTATTTAAATTCTTGAAAATAATTGAATTTTTGGAGAAAAATTTGTCTATTTATAAAGATAATTGAATATCTGACGAAATATTCGTTAAAATTATTGAAAATAATTTGATTTCTACGAAAAATTTTATTACTTTCGAAAAGAATTGAATTCTTGTGATGAATATTGTTATTTATGAAAATATTTAAATTCTTTTGGAAAATTTTATAACGAATTAAGAAAGAAATTGAATTCTTTCGTGAAAATTTATTTGAAAATAATTAAATTTTTGCAAAGATTTTTACTATTTATAAAAATAATTGAATTGTTTCCAAGGATTTATTAGAATTTAATAATATAATTGAATTCTTTTGAAAAATTTTATAACAAATTAAGAAAAAAATTGAATTCTTTCGTGAAAATTTATTGAAAATAATTGAATTTTTGCAAAGATTTTACTATTTAAAAAAATAATTGAATTAATTTTATAATTCGACGAAATTCCAAATTAAATGGAATTAAATGACAATATTTTTTAAAGACAATTTCTCCCAATGGTAGAATGTGATTCATATGTAAATAATATTATTAAACATAATTCTTTTAAATAATTCAATTAATAAATTTAGATAATTTAATAGAATTATATTTTAATAAAAATTTACTATTTCATTAATAATTTTTATCATTTAATTATTAATCACATGTATCATACAATTAATAATTATTATTATTTATGTAATAATATTTATGTAATAATAATATATTTTTTATTTACTGATTTTTTCAAATTAATTCAATTTTTTATTATTACGTTCGGCACTTGTGTCCTACAATAAATACTGAGAAAAAAATTGCCTACAATGGAGAAAATTGTTTTCGATGATTAATGTTTAGATGGAAAATTTTCAGTTTAATTAATAAAATGTAATAATTTAAAATTTCGCGAAATGTTTTCACATATATATATATTGCAAAAAGTAATCAATGTTTTGTTTTTTATGTTCAGCAGATTACCCGTGGGAAGTGTAGCAAGTGTGCGCCGGCATCTGAAAACATACACGTGAGTAAAATTAATTATCATTTTAATTATTTTTCAATTATCTTTTTTTTTTGATAGAGGGAAGGGAGATTTCTAATATACAACTTGCGAGAGAGAAAAATACGAGTCTTTGATTTTATATGTCGCAAAATTGATGAAAATCAAATTCAAATCAATTTGATTATAATAATAAGAATAAATATGCAAATTAAAAAAAGTTAGAAGAAAAAATTCTTATATAATTTCACTTGCAGTGAAATTTTCATGAAATTTTCATAAAATTTACTTTTTACCATTCGCAGTTGTGAATTTGATAGGAATTTTCTTATTTCTCTTATTAAGACTAATTACCTGCAGCCATGAAGGGTGTAAATTTACGGAAACTTACGAGCTACGGGAGAAAATTGAGGAACGTGTGGTTAAATATCAAAATATACGGAGAACAATAATTCATCTCCGTATTTTATTATATATACTGTATATAAACAGGAAATTACACGATACACCTCGTGTCAAAATGTCTCAATCCGTTATTTGCGAAAGAACAATCTTCTCCCGTTTTTTTTTTTAGCAAAAAAATATTCTCCAACAGTAAAGAAATTTTTCCCTCGTCTCTAAAGAGTAGAAAGTTTTTTTTGTCTTTAATTAAAATAACCATAGACTTGGAAACCTATAAACATTACAAAACATTACAACAAGAATTTAAAGAAAAATAAATAAAAAGTAAGAATTCATTAGAACAGTTTGTCACTACAGTTTGTAGAAACTGTGACAATGATTCTAATCGAAATTAATCATGATCGAATATCAAACACGATCAGAAAGGTGTATAAACTAATAAAAGTAGTCATGAATACAAAAGAGATAGTAAAAAAAAAAAAGCAGTAATTATCTATATACTGTTCCTAAACCGGATCGATGACAGAAGCGTGACCATTGTAATAATATTCTGTTCTAACATGTAGTTTCAATATGTAGAGGAAACATGAAACAGTTTGTGGTTGATGGGGTCAAATGGAATGTTATCCTCGACCAAGTCTAGGTCATCGACACCCACCCATCATCCATAGAGCATCCTTGGAATGTCCGTTAGTGTATTAATTCCACCACCACAGGATGCAAATTTACGTCAAATTAATCAATAGAGAAATTACATACTACTCCACTTGTCTAATACAATAAATTCAATTTATTTCCTCCTCGATTCACAGAGGAATATAATTGGAAATTTGATATATTTTTGTGGTCAACGTTCTCTATTTGCGAACAGGAAAACAAGAGCGAAATAAAAAAATTCTAGGGAAATATATAGTAATAGTGATTGCATCACTCGAAAACCTGTATACAGAATAAATTTTTGCCTTTGGAATTATTTTTCGATTTTTGGAATTATTGTTCTGACAAAGATTTTGGATAATATGCATTGTCTATTTCGAGATGTCAGTACAAGATGTACTGACATCTCGAAACAGATAATGCATATTATCCAAAAACTTTGTCAGAACAATAATCTTCTTTTTAGTACCAGTTCGCAATTAACATTAGTCATTAACATTAGTCTTTGGTAAATAGAGACTTTACATTTAAACTGTATTAAAATATATTTGTCGCAAGGTGAAAAGGACAGAGAGAAAGAACAATTTAAAAAATATAGTATGATATAAATAACTAAAAATTAATTGTTTTGCACTTAAGGTCCCATTCACTGTGAAGTGTCATCACTTATATAGTTGTCTGGAATTGTACGATTCATAATCTTGTCAGTAATGAAAAAGATATTTTTAATATTAGACAGGTTTTTTAATTACAATATTTAGTGCATTATGAAGCTACTTTGACTAAAAATTTACAGAAAGCCAATAATTGAAATCCTTTTAGAAATAACTAAGAGAATAAGCATTCTTATGAATCATCAGGGTTGTCACAGGTCAGGGAAATCAGGGAATTCAAAGAAAAGTCAGTAAAATTAGAATTAGTCAGGGAAAAGTCAGGGATTTTTATTAAAAATTGTGGAAAAAATTAAATCTTTAGAATTTATAAGAAAATTCTGAATTTTTGTGTCATTTTGTATGCCTCATAAACTACAAAATTACCACGAATTCAAAAAAAAAAACCTTAAATTTTTTCTATTTTTGACAATAATTTATTTTAAATAACTTAATTCTATTGAAGAACTGCCATAAAGTTATTACTGATAAATCATTTAATGAAGTATTTTCTTGAAAAACTTTAAATTCAATTCTGTTAGAATTATAGTTTCGAATTTCGATTATAAAAATTTTAATGCAATTCTTTGAAAGAATTCAACTATCTTTTAATAAATATTAAAATTCTTCGCCAGAATTCAATTATTATTCAGGAATTTTTATAAAATTCATGGCAAAATTTCAATTATTTTCAAAAAATGTGAAAAAAATTGTCGTCAACATTTCAATTATTTTTATAAATGAATAGCAAAATTCTTCGACAAAAATCAATTATTTTCAGGAATTTTAATAAAATTCATTGCAAAATTTCAATTATTTTTGAAAAAATTTTATTAATTCAATGATTTTCAATATTCTACTATTTTAATAAAATTTCCGAAAAGAATTCAATTATTAAACAAAAATTTTGATAATATTTTACACGAACATTCTTCGCAGTAATTCAATTATTTTCATAAATTTTAAAATTCTTTTCAGGGATTTAAATATTTTTATAAATAATAAAATCATTCGGGGGAAGTCAATTATTTTTATAAATAACAATATTGATCTCAAGAATTCAATTATTTTCAAAATTAATAAAATTCTTCGCAGAAATTCAATTATTTTCAAAAAAAGTGAAAAAAAAATTGTCGTCAACATTTCAATTATCTTTATAAATGAATAGCTAAATTCTTCGACGAAATTAAATTATTTTCAGTAATTTTAATAAAATTCATTGCAAAATTTCAATTATTTTCAAAAATTTTTTATTAATTCAATAAATTTTCAACATTCTATCTACTATTTTAATAAAATTTCCCAAAAAAATTCAATTAATTAAAACAACAATTTTTATAATATTTTACACAAACATTCTTCGCAGTAATTCAATTATTTTCATAAATTTTTTAATTCTTTTCAGGGATTTAAATACTTTTTTAAATAATAAAATCATTCGGGAGAAGTCAATTATTTTCATAAATAACAATATTCATCACAAGAATTAAATTATTTTCAAAATTAATAAAATTCTTCAAAAAAATTCAATTATTTTCGAAAAATTTTTAAAAAATTCCCGTCAACATTATTTCAATTATCTTTATAAATGAATAGCAAAATTCTCCGACAAAATTTAATTATTTTCAGGAATGTTAATAAAATTCATTGCAAAATTTCAATTATTTTCATAAATAATAGTATTCATCACAAGAAATGAATTATTTTCAAAAGTAGGTAGTAAAATTCAATTATTTTCAAAAATTCAATTAAAAAATAATAAAACTTTCACAGGAATTCAATTACTTAGACTAGAAATTCCATAAATTTTTTCGAAAAAATCAAATGTTTCAAAATTTGGCATTAAATTCTTCCCATTAATTCAACTATTTTCATAAATAATAAAACTCAATGCAGAATTTCAATTGTTTTTTAAAAAAATTTTAATTGAATTCCTCGAAAAATGTAATTATTCTTAAAAATGTTATTAAAATTCGTCGAAAGAATTCAATTATTTAAAAATTTGTTTATAAAATTATGCATAAGAATTGAATTTAAAGAAACATTCAATTATTCAATAAATTATCTACGTTTGTATTTAGATAATTGAATTCTCTTAGAATTTTCTAATAAAAACTGATTTATAAATTAAATTCAGTTAAAGTTTTAGATAATAATTGAATATTTGAGAAGTTACTAATAATTGGAATTTTTAGAAATAATTGAATTTCGTAAAAGTTTCGAATTAAAATCTTTGAAAAGTTTGAATTTTTCAATACTTTTAATTGAAAATTTTAATTTTTTAATACTTTTAATTGAAAATTCTATGGAACTAATTTTTTTCAAAATGCTTAATCGAAATTTTTGTTGAAATTTTTTTTTCTTTTCTAATGTATATTTAATTAATGAATTTTTAACAAATTTTTAACAAATGGATTTGAAAATTCTCAAAAGAACTTTATCATAAATTATAAATAATAATTAATTTAAAGAAGAATTTTAATTACAAATTTTAGAAAATAATTAAATTGAAATGATGAAAATAATTTTAAAAATTAGAGTAACAATATTCTTATAATATGATATAAAAATAGTGATTTTATCACTAGGTTATCTTTATCTTCTATAATAATATTTTTAAGTTATTGGATTTTAAACTGGTTTAAATTTGAAATTTTAAAAAAAATTTTAGTTCCTATGGAATAATAACTTGTTTTAAGTAAATATTTATTTGTATCAATTAATTGTTAATTGAATAATTAAATTAATAATTTAATTTCAAGAATTTGATGAAAAAAAGTATTGAATCAATTAGTTTATATTTATTAGAATAAAAATTATTTGACACAAGTAAATATTTATTTAAATTATTCAAAAATTTTAATATTTATTTAATTTATTTATAAGTACAAATATTTGTAGACAAAAAATTTATTATTATTTATTTTATAAATATTTAATATATAAATTTAATATAATTCGATGCACATATTTATTTATTATTAATGAATTAAAATTAGTAGATAAATAAGTAATTGTATTTATTTTGTTTGTATGAGGGAATCACATAATGAATAATCGTTTTTGGAAATGAAAAAAACAAACCGAAAAAAATAAAAATAAGTAAATATTTATTCGTTGCAAATCATTTCTAATTAAAGAAATTTATCACCTTTATTTATTATTAGTTAATTAAAATTGGTATTAAAATAATTGCTTATATTTATATATAGGAAAGATACACATGAATAAATTTTTTTTTTTTAATTGAAAAGTGAACGAAAATCTTTAATTTCTTCTCTTTTTATTTTTAATCGATCCGGAACAATGTTTATA